ACTGGAACTGTAAATTCGGAACTGTTGTCAATACCAATTTGTAAAGGTTCAGCAACAGGTATGTTCAAAATAAACTATGGATTTAATATGTTTTATGCTTCAGTATATTAATTAGTATAACATAAATTATAATTCAGACTAGTATTGTATTAATTAGTCGAGTCATGACATACCAGCCAACGATTTAAGAAAATTTTACATTTCACAAATTGAAGATTTGAAATTGTGTTTGGAGAATATTCTTGTTTTATGTTTAGACATTTCAAATTATATTGGAAGAGTTTTCTAACTTTTCTTATATTACAATGATTTTATTTGCCATTTTATCAAAATATGAAATGTAATTAAATTTAACGGGTTTTAGGAGAGGCCATATTCAACATGATGGATACCGCTTTACAGGAGAGGGGCATTCCGTGGTCGCAATGTATGGCTCTTGGCTGTGACAACGCAAATGTGATGACTGGGCACAAGAAGGGAGTCTTCGCATTTGTAAAGCAAAAGCAGCCACACATATTTCTGGCTGGATGTACTCTCCATTTAGTCCACATTGCAGCTAAGAAGGCAGCAGCAGCAGCTCTTCCTCCAGTGGATGATATCCTGGTGGATATATATTACTTTTTTCACAAAAGTGACAAACGCCGCTCAGCATTCAAGGGGACACAGGCACTTTACGACTTGGAACAGAAGAAAATGCTGAAGCATGTCTGTACTAGATGGCTCAGTATTGGAAGGTAATTAACAATTGATAGCATATTCTTACTAATAATTAGAGCTTGCTTACTGAACATGTACAAAAAACTACATGTTTTTAAAATAAGATATTTACAAAATGCATTTTTTTAACAAGTCATCGATGTAGCTTTGTTAGAACATGTACAAACATCACATTTTTTGAATATGATATGAATAATTAAACTTTAAACATCAATATTTTTCAATTTATTCTTGATTTTGTAGATGTGTCGATCGGATGCTGCTCAACTGGGATGCACTAAAGGACTTCTTTAAAGAGCAGAAAGATGCAGTGGAGTTAACAAAGTCAAAGAAAGCAGCAGCTGTAGCAGCAAAGAAGTCCAAGATATCAAGCTGTCCAAAGAATTCTACAGAAGAATCATCAGCGCCTGGATATGCAGAACAGAAGATTGAGGCCATCTATTCTTTCGTCAGGTCCCCGACCAATCGTCTGTATGTCCTCTTTCTTCAGTACACTATCCATGTGTATGATGACATTCTATTAAATCTGCAGTCAGATGAACCAAAAATACACATACTACAACGCTCTCTGCAAAAGCTTCTGAGGAATATTCTGACAAGGTTCATCAAGCCCGCAGCTATGCTTAGTATAGCTGTTGACAAGGTACAGTACAAGCAGAACTGTAACATCAAACCAAACACCTCACTTGTGATTGGAGAGGAAGCCAAAAACTTCATTGAGAATGCTGAGGTAAATCACCTCCGCTCACGAAAGGTTGAGGAATTCTACAAAAGTGTAGTCCGATACTTTCATGAAGTTTGTGACTACATTTGCAGCAAGCTGCCATTGAATGATCCTGTCTTGTCAGCTGCACAGGTGGCGGATGTAAACTTACAGACAATTGCAAAGTCATCTGACCTTCGTTTCTTCATTGAAAGATACTCGTGTATCATTCCTCCAGCAACAACAAAAGACAAACTACTTGAGCAATTCACTTTGTATCAATGTACAAATGTCAGCAGCTGTACCAATGAGCAAACCAGGATGGACTCAATCTGGTCCATGATTGGGAAAATGCGGGACGAGGAAGGGAAACTTATGTTCTCAGAACTCTCGGTGGTAATGTGTGGCATCCTAACCATACCACACAGTAGTGCACACTGCGAGAGGGTGTTCTCCTGTGTACGTAAGAACAGAACTGAGCAGCGAGCATGTCTTGGAGATAGTACTCTTGAAAGTCTCCTGGTAATTAAATCTTCAGGCACCCCTCAGGATTACACGGACAAGGAACTGGACCATATCAGGGGGTCGTACTACAGATCTCTGAAATCTTCATAAAATGCTGCTTACAGAATTTACCCAATGTGCTGGGTTGCCAACTTGTGTTACTGGACAGATTTGACCCAAAGTGCTGGGTTGTGTTTGTTTTATAACTTTTATTTTGCAATAAGATTAAAAAAGAAAGACAAAATCATCTGAAATGGTACCAATTATTTATTTGATGTTGTCACTTAAAATGTACCAGAATTCACCTCAGAGCACCTAGGAATTCAATTTTTTCCGGGGGAGACCCCCCGTACCCCCCTTGCAGGAGGGGGCTTAGGCGCCCCCTCCCGCACCCTCCCCTGCCTGGCCGCTTCGCGGCTCGGATGCTGGCGATGCCAGCATGTAAAAACTACACTTACCAAATTCAAACTACACTTTAATTCCTCTTTGACAAACAAATGGGTAAACAGGTCTGCGGTTGCCGAGGGGCTTATTGTTTTCAAATACTGATGATAGTTATATTTCTTTTTTGTTTTTGTTTTTGCGTAATGTAATTTAAGTGTTCTGTGTTTTCACTGTTTCTTAATATACAATGTAGGAACGGATTGCTCCGAAATTTGACAACGTCATTTTGTGTTTACTGTTGGAATTACTTTTTTGCTCTGTATGTATTTAGATTCAGTATATATACGAAAACAGTGCAGTGAGGCAGGGATTCTTAACTAACATCAATTTGCTAAGGATTCCATAGACCTTGTTAAGAGGTCTTTCGCCGGTTATCACAACCGCACCTACGAGCATAGACCTAGACAAATCGCTACTCGCCCTCTGCATGCTCGCACCACTGCCAAAAACGGTGACCTGTTCCTTGCATGTTTAAAACTTCGATGAATCATTTATCGGAAGCCCGTGTTGAGAAAGAATGTGGCCAATGAATCTTCAAAATTGTAATTTTAACAATAAAGCATAATGCAATTTGATTGGGATGGAGGCAGTGTTGTGTAATCTTTGAAACATAGGAAACATATTGATCTGTTGCATCTTATCGCAAAATCGAGAAGAAGCAAAAGGTTATAATTCATATGTTAAGTTCTTTCCTTATCTGTGTATGTACTGGTTATTGAGCTGTTAATTTAAGAAAATAACGAGAAAAACAAAATTACACCAATTAACTTAATTGGTATCGAAAATATCCATCAATCTCATTAGTGTGTGTTGTGTTTTCGTTGCCACTGCCCTGGTTCTCACTATGGTGACGTGATATTACTTAGATTTGACGTGTATTGTTATCCGATCATACAGGGTTTGTCGGTTGTATACACGTACTGACTCATGATAATATCAATACAAGTGTGTCCCATATAGTCAAAATAATTCTCCCCGGCTAGGTATTGTGAAACACTACGAGCTCAATTGACGATCTACTCGCAGGACGGCTTACCTTTCGTTCTATTTAATGACCTTCAGTACGCGTGTTGTTAATCCAATAGATTGCTGAACACTAAACCTGTATTTCTTTATGTGACTAAATGTTAATCTATCTTTGGGAACTTGTAAATATAATAAGAAGAGAAGAAATGTTAAGGTAGTTTGTTTTTCACCCTTTCACCACTGTAGACCATAATGGACTCATTCATATCAATGCATGGTAGAGTCTACTAAAGTTACATAGGGGTGAAATGGTTAACCTCTTCAGTATGTTAGCGTACGGAGCGAATGAAAGTCTAACACGATCAATATTGATAGTAGTTGCGTGCCCATAACGTGTGACGTTTCCCCAGTACACAGAGGTAGAATGTCAGCAAATAGAACGACACATAAATACGACTTTGTCATTCTTCACGTTGAAAGAGGAACACTTTGCACTTAATGTTGACCTATATAGGACGTCATTTATGAAATTTCTATTGCTCGCTTCTTCGTTTACAAAATATAACGACATAATTTTGTATGTAGACGAATCGTGAAGTTCTTCAAAAGATGCAGAAAGACATGAAATTGCCTTTCCTCGTACATATTTCTATACGCGATGGAAAAACTTTATTATCATTTATTATCTTTCTTACTTGGGCGAAATCGAAATCGAATGAAGTCTTCATTGTTTGTATAATTGCAGCCAAAGTATTCCAGTCGTATGGATTTATACGTCTCTCGTCTATTATTTATTCATCAAAGGGAAAAGTATGTATATTTCAATGAACAAGGAAAGACCGGGTCGTATGGATTTAGTTATTATGAAAGTACTAAATACTACAGCGGCGGATTCAAGGGCAGAGCATACAGTACCAATGACCCC